TAAAAAAAAAATGCAAGCCATACTCATTAGGCACAGACATGAATAAACCATCTTCTAACTTGGATTTTACAGTTTTGACATAGACCAACACATCATCTAATCATGTATTCGCTTGGATTCTTTAGGCCATAATCACTGAATTCCTCAAATGTGATCTCTTTAACGTTGCCTGCATCCCCGTTTCTGCAGACCACACCAACAGGGAGGAAAACCATGGATATCTGAGTGGAATGAGAAAAACAATCCCATTTATACAAAGAATGTCAATTCCTTTGGAGGCACGGCACCTAGAAAGCACAGCATCACCTTGTCATTTGGAGGCAAGAGAGGACACTGGTTAGAAGAACCTATTGGCTTTGTAAGCAAAGATCTCTGGAGCCTTCAGGGGAGATAGGCACAACCTCCTCTGGAGAAATTCCTAATGCGTGGTACTGAGCTGCTCACGTCCATTGTATTAGTAAATTCTTCCACATCTTGCTGCCATTTCTCAAGTCCAACTACCTCTTTTCAACTCCAGTTCCAATTATCTTGTCCAAGACATCATGGTCTCTCCTGTAGACCATTCCAGTAGTGTCCTAACTGGCTCCCCCCATTTCTCTCTCACCTCAATCCAGTCTATGCATAGCACCTGGAGGATCCCTTCAAGGTGTGAATATAAATCTTAAGTCTTTACACTCATTTCTTCTTTAGGTCACAATTTGTGGAGGCTTTAAAAACATGTCCACCAATTCTTTAAGTTTATTTTTATATTTATCTTTATTTTATTAAAAGGTGAGTTCTAGAAGCCAGCAGGTGGTGTGGAGGTTAAAACAGCTGGATCCCACATGGCCAACTGTGTGATTGGAGTCCTGGACCTGGTGGCTTGAGAATCATGCCAGGCACATGCATGTGTGTGTGTGCCTGAAGTCCTGAGAGGAGAATGGAGGAGAAGGGATTGCAGCATGGCCACCCCCACCCCATCCCCATGGGTGATTTCTCACTTTCTTTTTCCCTCTCTCTCTCTGGTGAGCATAAGCACCCTATAGAAAAACTTTTTTTTTTTTAAGTGCATCCTGATTCATCTTCCCTTGAGCTTGGACCAGCCCTAGTAATTTGCTCCCAGTGAATAAATGCTATAGAAGTGATTCCATGTAGCTTCTAAGACTAAGTCAAGAAAGATGATGTGGCTTCTTTCTGATTCTCTCTCAGCAGACTCATCCTTGGAACCCGGCCACTATCTGTGGCAAAACCAACCAGCCACACGCAGGTGTTTCTGTTGACATCCTCCACTCAGGTTCCTACCAACAGCCAGCATGAACCACCAGACGTGGAAGTGAGGAGAGAGGAAATCTCAAATGATTCCAGTCCCCATCTTTCGCTGATGCTAGGTCCCCACCTAGCCCTTCCTATATTGCTGAGATGAGAAAATCATTGTTGAAATGAGAAAATAATTGTTGTTATTGTTTTATGCCAGTAAGCTTGGGGGTCGTTCATTCCATAGCAATAAATGACTGGGGCTCAGCCGATGGGTCCCCTCTTCAAAGCTGCCTTCCCACACTGTACCATCCAAGTACCCATTGGCTCCATTCGCCATCAATAAGTTATTAACATTATTCACCTCAGTGCCCAGCCTCATGCCTGGTACACAAGATATACTCGATGAAAATTTGTAGAATGATTGAGTACGTGAATGGACCTTTTTATCACAGTTGAAGCTACCGGGTTTTTTTTAATCAGATGAGAGTTCGCTTACCCATTTGCAGGTGAGGAGGTTGACCACCAAGTCAGATAGCGGGAGGGGTGGTTATGGGGCATATTCTCCTGGTGCTGCTGCAGGGCAAGCTGGGCAGACAGGGTGCTCACCCGTCAGGGGCCTTGGGGCTTGGCAAGGTGGGTGGAGGTGCTCCCAGGAACACTAGTCTTGGTGCTGGTGCGGCACTGCCCACCTTCTCTCTTGTTGAGTAAACAAGTGATTCTCCCAGTTGTCTGTCCCCGTCACGCCTGTCAGCACATGTCTTTCTCAGAGGTAGGCATATTTTCTATTTGGAAAACAGAAGATGGAGTGGCAGGCAGGAGTGGGAGGTGCTTCCCGGAATGGATGCTACACTTCGGCAGGGTCGATAATGACAACTGTGTCAGGCAACTGAGTTTTAGGCTGGCACGTGGGGGCCCTGCTCACTGGCCGTGTGGTTTCCTTGGTGACAGGAGGGCTGCCAGGCAGACAGTGACTTTGGGGCCACCTATCACTAACTAACTCTGACAATTTTGATTGAGATGAAAAGATTTAGGGTCCCTACCAGTTTTCTCAAATTAAGCCCTCCCTCCTGGAGTTTTTATATTTATAAATGTTGCTTTCGATTAGGAGACTTCTACAATGAGTGTCTCTACCATCAAGTTTGACTTTTTGGGGCTGATAGGAGGGTTTCTGGGACTGGACTCCTCAGCGCAGCTCAGCAAGATAAGGCTACACCGTGATGAGCTTCCCGGGCAATGCCTCTGGGTGGGCGTGTATCAATCAGGTCTAGTTAGGAAAACAGGACCCACATCAGGTATTTTAACAGAGAGAGTTTAATCCAGGGAATTGATCAAGCAAAAATTGGAGGCTAAAAAGACCAAAAGGGAAGCTCAAGAAAAACACAGAGACAGTAACTGTCGGAAGCAGCAGGGCTGGAGGCACAGGTGAGGAGACTGGGGTTTTATTAACTTAGAAGCTTGAAAGAGGGACCCTGCGAGCTCAGACCCAGACCTCCAAGGAGAGGGGACTGCCTAGTACCTCTGAGGCCAGAGCTAAGCACTGCAACCCATCGTAATGGGAATGAACTGTCAGTGCGAGGTGAAAGGTCAGTGCTGGGCTGATACTACAGGCTCGTAGGGAGGCAGGCTGCCTTCAGGCCTGAATTTAGAGCACCTAGGTTCTAATCCTACCTCCACTGCTCCTAAGTGGGCCATTCGGTGAGTTATTTAACCTCTGCCCCTGAGTTTCTTTAAAATGAGATTTTTATTATTATTATCTTATTGTGTACCTTGGCGTTCATATGTACGAAGTGCTCCGAATAGTGCCGGGTGTGCCATGCACTTGCTGTTACTATATAGAGACCAGGAGGCGTGAGGCAGGAGCAAGTCTTTGCTCCCAAACTTGCAATCTTCCTTTCCCACCAGAGCCCACGTGGAGCCAGTCTGCCAGAGAGAATTGTACCTGCAGCGTCCCAGCCCCAGCCCCACAGAGGGAGCAATGTGGTCGAGCCAGGATGGGCAGCTGGAATGTGGAGAGTCTCGGAGGGGGAGCGGACGGTAAGGCTGGACTGGAGCCTGGGAAGTTAGGGCTCAGCGGAGGAACAGGCAAGTGGCAGCTATTGACGACAGGGCTGGGACAGATGGGAAAACATGAGAGGCCAGGGACCCTGTGCCTGGTCAGTGTCTAACAAGTGGAGCACAGTCTCTGACGTTCAGAAACCCAGGCAGGCCAGCAGCACCAGGGAAATCGCCAGGGACAGTGGTCCCCACCACTGTGCAGGGAGGCAAAGATGAAACTGGATGGAGAGAATGCCTGAGACCTAGGGACATTGGGGACCCTGTCAGGGTCCCAACACCTAGACTGGAGGACCAGCAACCAAACAGAAGGCCAGTCACAGGAATGGCACGGGAAACAGCGGGTGGGCTGCTGAGAGAGCAGTAGAGAGGCTGGGTCTCCTTCCCACAGCTCTCGCATGGGCACCGACTGCCCTGCCCTCGTTACCACGTGGCACACTGCCCTCCACCAAACACCCCGACTGCCCTCCACAACCTGGAGGCCCCTGCAGGGGAGACACTTCCCCCTTCACCTGCTCCTCCCCAACACAAAACGCAAAGCGCTTGGCACGCTGCAGGTGCTTATTAAATGTTGTCTGGGAGGCCTGGAACTGGCCGCGGCCAGCTTGACGGTGGCTTGATTACAGGCTCATAGGGAGGTAGGCTGCCTTCAGGCCTGAATTTAGAGCGCCTAGGTTCGAATCCTACCTCCGCTGCTCCTAAATGGGCCATTTGGTGAGTTATTTAACCTCTGCCCCTGAGTTTCCTCACTTTAAAACGAGTTTTTATTTTTTTTATAATCTTATTTTGTACCTTGGAGTATGAAGCGCTTAGAATAGTGCTGGATATGCCATGCGCTTGCTGTTATATCCCTATTAGGACAGATAAATAGCGTTCTGTGTGTGCGTTCCTCCAGCTGCCACAGCCGCCAGCAGAGCTGACTCCACCAACTAGCGCCAGAGGCTTGGCTATCGCCCGAGGGGACCGGAGGGAGGCAGTCGCTTTCCCCAACATTTCTAAACTAGCTGCGGTGAGGTCCAGCGACAGTATGGAGAAACACCACAGCCCCCTCCCCCGAAAAAGGCTATGCCTCCCCTGAGGAAAACTGCGTGGCGAGTCAATCCTCGGCCCTCGCTGTCCCCTCGCCGGGACCCGCTCCCTGGCCGGGCAGTGCGCCGGGACAGGTGCGGTGGAACTAGCCCTGGCCCCGCTGGAGCTGCTGTTACCCACCGGCCTCCGCACATCCAAGCGACCGGCGCCACCTGGAGGCTCTCTCGAAATACGCATGATGCCACGCGCACTGGAGGAGGTAGAAGGGTCCCTTCATCCCGTTCTATCCCTGAAACATTTATCCAGCTACTGCTGTGTTGGGCTCTGGGGACGTCGGAAGAAAGATAACGCCTCGTCTCTCAGACATCCATGGCGTGATGAAGAAGACAGACCATCCACGAATAAGTCGATGTGCAGCGCTAAGGGCTGGGATAGAGAGGGTTACAAAGGCGGGAATGACACGCAATTCTCCCTCAAGGCCTTGTGGGTGCCAGGTCCTGTTCCAGGCACCAAAAACAACAAAAGAAATTCAACAGAGCCCCTATTCCCAAAGAGTTTATAAGGAAGAGAACAGGCTGGTTGACCTAGAGCTAAGAAAGAACCCAGGATCAGCATCTACAGGGAGCTCAGGGAAATTCTGCAGGGAAACTTACTACTCACACGGAATCTTAAAGAATGGGCAGAACTGTGCCGTGGCATTAGGGAAATAGTAGCGTCTGTGACATCATGGAAGCACAAGAAAGTGTGGGTGGGAGAACGGCAAGTCTCCGTGTCTGAAATGCAAGGCAGTGCTGAGATGCAGGGCTGGAGGGGTCTGGAGCAGATTGCCAAGGGTGTGGTTGGCAGGTGAAGAAGCTGGCACCTGATCTGGGGACTCGGGTGTACTCCAGAAAGCTCACCCTGAAAGGCAAATGTGAGAATAATGGCTGGCAGCCCACACTCCCATGTGCCAGGGCAGGGCTGATGCTTGGCTCCCATTCTTTGTTCAAATCCCCTAAGTGGGGGGATACTATTATTATTCTGATTTTACCAATGGGGGGGACACATAAGACACTTTCCCAGGACCAGCAGTTGGCATAATGGCTATGTCGCTGAACTCTGATGTAGTCGACTGCAGTTCGAGTCCTAGACTCGGTGGCTTAAACTCACGCCAGGCGCGTGTGTGTGCGTGCCCAAGATCCCGAGAGGAGAATGGAGGAGAAGGGATTGCGGCGTGGCCATCCCCCCTGGGGGGTGATTTCTCGCTTTCTGTCTCTCTGTCTCTCTCTGTCTGTCTGGCGAGCGCACGTGCCCTATAGCAAAAATACCTCCAAAAAAAAAAAAAAGGATACTTTCCCACTACCCCCTAAATAGGTAGCCTTCAAGGATCTATTATCAATAGATTCAAACTCAGGCCAGCCAACTTAGAAGCCTGAGCCCTTGTACAATTCTGAAAAAGCCACACCATGGTGCACCAAAGCCAAGTCCCACCTATCAGGTGAAATAACAATACTTAATGACTATGTGGATCTGCAAGAATAGGAAAGAGCTAAAGACAGGATTATAATGAAAAATAATACATTTTTAAAAGATTTTTGCCAAAGGCACATGTACTCACCAGAGAGAGAGAGACAGAGACAGTGAGAGGGAACGTGAGAAATCACCCTTCGGGGGGGTGGGAGGATGGCCGCAGTGCAGTCCCCTTCTCCTTTATTCTCCTCCTGGGATTTTGGGCGTGCACACACATGTGTCCGGCATGATTTTCAAGCCACCAGGTCTGGGACTTGAAACGTGGTTGACTGTGTGGGCGTCCAATGCCTTAATCACTATCCCACCTGCTGCCCTCCCCCCAAAAAAATAATACATTTTAGACCTGAGAAAAACGTTTTGAGTCTTCTAGAACAACTTTCCAGTCCATCCTTACCCCCAACATCACATCAACCCACGTACTCACAATTCCGCCTTCCTTCCTGCTAGGAGGGTGAGTGCTCCCAAGAGCAGCCACTCCAGCTGTGCACTGGGTTCCATCTTGTGCCCACTCAAGGACGTCGGCGTCATCGACTGACCCTTCTCTCATGCATGCGGACAGTTTGTCTTTTTACTGAATTATCCTGTAAACACACATGTGCGCTACAGTTCCTCTCAAAACAAAACAAAACAAAAACCCTGGTTGACGGCCCCGCCTCCCAGATATCATCTCTTATATCAGTCCTCTTCAGCAGAGCTGTGTGTACTCAGACTCCACTTCCCTCCTGTCCTTCCTTAGACCCACTTCGATCACTTTCATTCCCGTCACAATTGCTCCGTCACAATTGCTCTCATCGAGGTCACGAACCACTCCACACTGCAAGCCCAAGTCAGCTGAGAGCCCTCATCACAGGTGACACCCAGGAGTACTCTGCACTGGACTTTGCACTCGAGTGCATACAGCTTCCCGGTGGCCCCACCCAGCCTCACGCTTCCAGTCCCCAAATGCATCTCTCCAACCTCTCCTCTGCACTCCAGAGTCAGATATCCAGCAGTCAGTACACATGGACTAGTGTGTTCAAACAAACTCTTGGCCCTTCCCCGAAACCAGCGGTTCTTAGACTCCTCATCTCAAAACATGAAAACCCCAACGTTCTGGCTGCTCAGAACAAACTCTTTAATCTTGTAACCTGTATTCGTCAAAACCAGTTGGGTGATGCTGCAGTGACAAAGAATGCCAAAATCTCAGTGGCTACCACAAAGACATTTATTTTTCTCTTCAGGTTCACACTGAGCTGGTGGAGGCTCAACCTGGTAGGTTCACAAGCTGATGGATGCTCCACCTTGCTGAAATCTTGTCACGATTTCTGAAACAGGAGAAGGGCATGTTGCAGGGTCTCGCACATGCAGCTCAGTGCTTCGGCCTGGGGATGCACACACCTCTTCTCACTTCTTGTGGTCCAAAGCAAGTCATATGTTCATATCTGACTTAGAGGAGGGTGGGAATGCAAACTTACTATGTGCCAAAAAGAAAACAACTAACATACTTGCAAACAGCTCTAATAACTACCAATTTGTACTCAACTCCTCTTCCCCTCCCCCTGCACGTGCAATCCACTAGGATAGTTTGTTTTGCTTTCAAAAATTATTTGGAATCCGACCTCTTCTAGCAGCTCCACTGGAGCACCAACATCTTTTGCCTGGATAATTGCAATAGTTTCTTTTACTCTTTGTCTTTTTTTATGTTAGATAGTACATGTATGCACATGAGAGCGAGAAGCCCCCTCGGCATGCCACAATCCCTTTTCCTCAGTGCACCAGCTCCTCTGGATCCTGGACGCATGGGCACACACATGCACCTAGTGTGTTTTCCAGTCAACTCGGGATCCACACCCACAGCTGCACTATGGCTTCCAGCCTTTCGGGGCCCTGTGCTACTACCATGCCGTAGAGCTGGGCCTGCAACAGCTGCTTAACTGGACTTCAGCTCTACCCTTGGCACTGAGGCCTGGGGTCCACAGAGTCTCTTTTTTCTTTTCTTTTCTTTTTTTTTTTTTTTGGAGAGATTTTCACTGTAGGGCGCATGCGCTCACCAGACAGACAGAGAGACATAGAGACAGAAAGCGAGAAATCACCCCCCAGGGGGGATGGTCACGCCGCAATCCGTTCTCCTCCATTCTCCTCTCGGGATCTTGGGCACGCACGCACACGCGCCCAGCGTGAGTTTTAAGCCACCGTGTCCGGGACACGAACCGCGGTTGACTATGTGGGAGTCCAGCGACATAGCCATTACGCTAACTGCTGGTTCCCCACAGAGTCTCTTTTAACCATGCCACTTTTCTTCGCAGACCCTCCAGTGTTTCCTAGTGGAAATGTGGGAGGGACCCACGAGGCTGCATAACCTGCCTGCCCTGTCCCCACTTCTTCCCTCACTCCTGCCCAGCCACACCATCATCAGCATGTGCTGCTCCTTCTCCCAGGTAACCAAGTGCTTTTCTCCTTCAGTCTCAGTTCACATTGCAGCTGCAGGTTTGGATCCCTGAGTTCACTAAGAACACATTAGATGCATATGCGAGCATGGGCACCCAGGATGCTGAGGAGCTGGAGGGCTGGGGAAATGGGGCTGTGGTGTGGTGATGATGCTTCTCTCTCTCTCTCTCTCTCTCTCTCTCTCTCTCACCTCCTCCTTATAGAGGGTTTCCCTTTTCCCTGACCACCTGATATAAAATCTCTCTCTTGCTCTCGCTCTCGCTCTCTCCTCTCTCTCTCCCCCCCCCTCCCCTCCCCACCCTGCTTTATTTCTCCTGATGGAACTTGTCACTGCCAGGCATATTACATACTTGGTCTCATTTGTTTAATGGGTGTCTCCTTGTTTTTTGCAGGTGAGACTTTTGCATCACCCCTGCTCTGTCTCCAGTAGGAAATGAAATGTGCTGAACTTGAGGAAGAGAGACCAAAGGGTCCGTGCAGAGCTTGAATAAACTGTAACTGTGTGTCAGTCAGATGGCCATGGGGCTCAGTGTGGTCGGTCCAGCTACTCCAACCCCATATCCCCTCTGGCCCCAGCCCCAACCCAACCTCAACGCCAGCTTCATCCTCAGAAACAGAAGCAGCATCCAGACTTCCCATCCCGGCAGACTGGCCTCAGTGCAGGTCCCAGTGCCAACTGCTGGCTCTCTGGCCCTTCCCAGGAGGCATGGATGTGGTGTGGCCTCACCTCACCATCTTGCCCTCATTGTGGACAGTTACAAGAACAGCCCAGCCAGGGCTCAGCCCGTGTCACCAGGATTCTGCTGGGAGCAGTGGATGTACACGCCTGTTGGAGCCAGGGTTCAATGATTGCTTCTCAGTGCCACCCACTGCCAGGAAAGGGGAGATTTGCTAAGAACATGTACATGCTGCCCAAGAATGTGTTTCTGGGTGAGCTCAGCCTGGACTGGCATGGGGTCCCATGGAGCCTTGTGCTAACTGTGAGTCCTGTGCCTGGCTCCAGCCCAGTCCCTCACTGTGGACATAGCTTCCAGAATGGCCACTTGAGCTTCAAGGCTACATCAACCATTCACAGGCCTCCTGGCGAGATCCTGGGGTGATGTTCAGGCCTCTGACAAGGACATATGTGTTGGCACAGGATGCATCAGAGTTGCCCTGATCTTGAACCCACTTCAGACCCACTGGAGGGTCCAGGCATTGGCCCCTCTCTCCCATGTCACCTTTGTGTCCTCTCTCTCCTTCTCTGTCTCTTCCTTTCTCCCTCCCCTCTCCCTTCCTTCCCTCCCTCCTTTTCTCCAAAAATTAAAGCATATAATTCCCTCACCTTGACAGACATAACTCTGTTGGCCTCACATCCCACTCACACCTTTATCTCATTTCTTTTGTTTCTTTCTTCCGGGAGTCAGAGACACAGAGAAACAGAGATACAACACCCCCAACAGGGTCTTGAGGCTGTGATCCACTCCCAGCTCAGTCAGCACTGGTATGGGCGCATATGTGCCCAGCATACTCAGAGGTGTCTCCAGACACAAAACCAGAACTTCCCCACGTGGGACAGCCTCTCGTTTTACCTCTTGCTTCCATCCATCCAGGCCCCATCTCGTTTCTACTCTTCAGGGAGAAATCTCCTCTGAAGCCTCAGCTCTGTCACTGCCTGTCTTCTCCTCCACCCTCCAGGACCCACACCACTCACGTTTCTCCTTCCCAACTCCCCCGGACTTCTCTGGTCCAGGTCACCAAGTCACTTGCTCTCAGCCCTCGTCACTGTCCCCCACGCAGCATTTGCACAGTGAGTGTGCCCCTTTCCTGATGGCACGCCGTCCCATTCGCTCAGCCCCAGGAACCCCTCTTTCTTCTCCTCCTCCCTTCCTGTCTGCATCTGCTCAGATCCTCTTCTGCCTCCTCGTCCTGACCCCTCAATTTCAGAAATACCCCAGAGTTAGTCTGTAATCTCTCTTTTCCCTTACTTATGCTCATTGTTAAGGTGACCTTATGTCAGTTCCATGACTTGGATGGACTTACACATTTAGGCCTCCTTAATGTATAAGGAGCCTTAATAATCTTAAACGTCAGTCCCTTCTACTCAACTACCTGTTTAAGATTTCTGGATGTTGGCCCAGCAGTTGGCATAATGGCTATGTCGCTGGACTCCCATGTAGTCGATGGCGGGTCGAGTCCTGAACCCGGTGGCTTAAAACTCATGCTGGGCATGTGTGTGTGCGTGCCCAAGATCCCGAGAGGAGAATGGAGGAGAAGGAATTGTGGCGTGGCCATCCCCCCGGAGGGTGATTTCTCGCTTTCTGTCTCTCTTTCTGGCGACCACACGCGCCCTATAGCAAAAACCTCTCAAAAAAAAAAAAAAAGATTTCTGGATGTCAAATTAGCATCTCAAACTTGATATACCCAAGACAAAATTTTACACCTTCCTTTTTTCTCTCTCTTCTTTCCTTCATCTTTTCTTCTTCTTTCCATTTCCCCTTCCTTTTTTTTCTTTCTTAAGAGATTTTTGCTATTAGGGTGTGTGCACTCACCAGAGAGACAGAAAGCAAGTAATCACCCCCCGGGGGGGATGGCCAGCTCACAATCCCTTCTCCTCCATTCTACTCTCAGGATATTGGGCACGCATATACACATGCCCAGCATGAGTTTCAAACCTCTGGGTCTGGGACTCGAACCACAGCTAGCTATGTGGGAGTCCAGTGACATAACCATTATGCCGTCTGCTGGTCTCTCTCTTTTTTTTCATTTTTTATCTTTTTTATATCTTTTACAATGGGGAAATCCAAACCTCCACAAAAGTAAATAGACACAGATACCAAACACACATATACACCACACACAGCTTCAGTGATTGCTAACTCATAGCCAAGCTTGTTTCTCTTCCTTCCCCAGCATCCTGTTTATTTTGAATCCAGTCCCAGACATAAACATTGCATCATTTCATCTGTATCTATTTCACCTTGCATCTCTAAAAGATAAGGCCTCGTGTTTAAACATAATCATTATATCATTAGCTGCAGTCATAATAACTATTCCTTAATATTATTTCATAGCTGGCCAGTGTTCAAATTTCCAAATATCTCATACATTTTTGTAAGTTTGAATCAGAATGCAGATAAGATCTATATAGTGTGATTATTCAGTATGTCTTTTTATTTTTAAAAATTTTGCCAGAGAGAGTGTGCACTCACTAGGGAGACAGACACACAGAGAGAGAGAAAGTGAGAAAGTATCCCCTATGGGGAATGGCCATGCCTCAATCCCTTCCCCTCCATCTCTCCTTCTCCTCAGGATCTTGGACAGTCGTGCTCACGTGCCCAACATGCTCCCCATACCACCACGTTCAGGACTCAAATCATACAGTCGGCATGTGGGATCCAACCACCATACCACAGGCTGGCTCCAGTATGTCTTTTAAATCTATTAATCTATAGTTTCTCCTTCCTTCTCTCATTTTTTTGCAGTTCCCAAATGTATCCACACGAGGACGCGCCTGAGACCAGGTTGCTGGTAGTCACAGACATGCGCAAATGCAGTTCCCAATCCCGCCTCCAGGGGTGCCAACTTTCTGCAGAGTTCTCAGCCTCTGGGGATTTTGGGCACACACATGCCCAGCATGTTTTTCAAGTTGCCTAGTCTGGGACTTAAACCACACAGTTGGCTGTGTGAGATCCAGCCACTTAAATCACCCCTCCACCAGCTGACCCTGACATTTTTTTAATAAAAGTTTTTAAAGTGTGACAGATAACTGCATGCTAAATAATGTGCAAATCTAGACATTATAACTAAATTTGGGGGCAATATGAAAAGCCAAGATATATATTGGGTCGTCAGAAAAGTCACGACATACTTCTCTATGCAAAAAGGAATCATGACTTCTCTAACAAACCAATAATACCTGAATAAATCAATAAGCATCCAAAAAAATTGAAATCATAATAACTTCATTCCCACAAGTCCCTGGCCCAGATGGTTTTACAAATGCGTTTTACCCAACTCTCAAGAGATCATCTTTATTCCATCACGAATTGTTCTAGTAAGTGAAAAAAGGAGAGAAAAGTGCTTAGAATTACTTGTGAAGCTAATGTAATCTGGATTAAAAACCTACTGGAACAATACAAAGGAAAAAACTATCGGCCCATTTCACTTTACGAGTGAGGCTGCAAAGATACTAAATAAAATTAAATACCAGCTGAACTAATCCAAGAATGTACTAAAAATAACATCTGGTTTATCCCAGCCATACAAGGAAGATTTATCAGAAAATGCATCAGTGTTATTCATCATAGTAAAGAGTAAACAAGATACAATATGCATTTATTTCAGTAGATACAAAAATGCTGTTTCATAGAGTTCATTGGTTATTTAAATTTTCTTAACTTTATTTGTTTCATGAGCAAGAGGAATGGGAGGGGAGAGACAGCACCCCAACAAGGTCTCGACACCATGATCTGCCCCAGCCTTTAGGCGGACCCAGATCATAAGCACACATATGTCCAGCATACTCAGGGAGGTCTCCGGACCTGAACCTGGAACTTTCTCATGTGGGGTTGTCTCCAGTGTTTTAACCTCATGCCACCCTCTGCCCCTCCCCCAAGACTTTATGATTTAAAATTTTAGTAAACTAAATGTTAGGGACTGAATATTTGTATCCCTTCCCAAAATTCATAGGTTGAAACTTAATTCCCAATGTTATGGTATTATAATGTAGGACCTTTGGGAGGTGATTAGGTCATGAGGTAGAGCTCTCCTGAATGGTATTAGTGCCCTTATCAGGAATTGGGGGAGCCAAAATCCCTCTTCCACTATTTGAAGACAAAGAGAAGAATATGTTCTGAGCCAGGAAAGGAGCACTTATAAACTCTGAACCTGTCAGCACTTTGATCTTGGACTTCCCAGTCTACAGAACTGTGAGAGAGAAGTTTCTGCTCTTTGTAAGTCATCAGTTTATGACATTTTATTACAGCAGCCTGAATAGACCAAAACACTGAGATAGGAAAGAAACTCTTGGGACCAGCAGATGGCATAATGGTTACATCACTGGACTCCCAAGTAGTTAACCACAGTTTGAGTCCCAGACCCAGTGGCTTAAAACCCGCTGGGCACATGTGCACACATGCCCAAAATCCCAAGAGGAGAATGGAGGGGAAGAGACTGTGATGTGGCCATCTCCCATGGGGTGTGATTTCTCACTTTCTATCTCTCTGTCTCTCTCAGTTGAGTATACACACCTCTTTAGCAAAAATCTCTCTTAAAAAAAAGAGAGAGAAAAGAAACCCTTAAAACTCGTATCAAAGAAAACCTATATAAACATTTTTCCTACACAAAAAATTAGGCACATTTTACTTAAGATTAGAAACAAGAAAACAAAAGCACTATTACTGCTTCTGCATGACTTAGTACTGGAGACCCTATCCTATGTTGTAAGAAAAGAGGAAATAACAATTTTGGCAATTTGAAGGGAAAAAAAGAGATAAACCTGCTATTAGCTGTGGACAACATGACAATATATATTTTTTAAAAAAGAAACAGAACTAAGAACATATTACAACTAATAATAAAACTCCATAAGATTTTCGGAAATAAGATCAACTTTTCAAAAAGTCTCTAACATTTCTCTACTCCAATAACTTTCAAT